TGGGGTTATGTCGTATAGCTTATCAGTTCTACTTTCAAAACTACGCCATGACAGACAGACCTGAATAACGTCAAAGGTATGCGGTCAACAACGCGGGCTCAAGCGTACGAGGTTTAAAATTAAGCGAAATTTGCGAAAATGATAAGGAGCCGGCATTTAAAACCGAAGCATTTTGTTGTCGTCGAAGGCATTTCCCTATTTCCAAAGTTTTTGGGGAAAAAATTGATTTTCGAAAATATTAAGGGGGTGTAAAAAAATTTTGGAAGTTGTTCCGCAAAAGAAAAGCGGCAAGGAAAACAAAGCCTCGAAGCAACAGAATAGAAAATCGACAATGCGAACGACTCAAAATCAGTTTTCCGCGCCAAAAGCTAGTGGGTGCGAGTACGTCATTCAGCTCTGTCGCTATGACAGGTATCTAGTAATTCGAAACCTAAGTGAACTTATCCTGAACATGTATTCTTAATGAAACGTTGGATGTGTTCTAAGCAAGGTATATCAGCCTGCGGCCTTTCTTTAAATCTAGGCAGTTTGGAAAGCCGCAAAACTCCAACACAAATACTAATCTTTCAAATCGGCACCATTAATCCCCACGGCATCAATGAACGCTTTTCTTTCAACTTTTTATTTTTGTGTCTTTCACGTTACCACGTTCCCACAAAAAGCGCAGCTCCATCTTTCTCTTTATAAACTGCACAGAGCCCACAGTTCCTCCATTCGCTCCAAGAAAGGGCTAACGCTCGAAAAGTCAGCTATAAAACCCTTTGTGGTGGCAAATTCTCATTATTAACTCAATTAATAAAACCAAACCATAATGTTGAAAAACAGTCATATTAAAGTGTTCACTCTGAGCACATCCTGATCGCAAATTTTGTGTGAAGAAAAAATGGGTAATTCTTGGAATCTAAGTGGAAGTTTCACAGCAATGTTCTGGGCGTGTGACTTCTTTTGTGCATCGATCGAGGATTAGTTTAACCAATCCCCTCTGACTAACAGATCGTATGATGATTTTTTTCCTTTTATTTCATCTTCAAGGTGTTGTTGTGATTCAGAGGGTTTATCGTCGATACAGAGACCATCATGTTCTCGCTAGGAGGATTGCAATTAAGAAAATGTTACAAGGTAACATGGTACAAGGAAAAAATAAAACAGTAAAATAATACAACTGCGAATTAAGACGCTATATTTAAGGGGGAACAGTTCTGGTTGGAAATTGGAAAAGTTGAATTTTCTTTAATGTGAAAGCTTAGGTGCTATTGTACGATATGATGTTTAAACGATACTATGAGTAGAGAAAGGTGGTTTATGGTTTATTGCAGAAGGAAATGTAGTGAGTACTGGTGTTTTTTGGCTTTTTTTTTAGCCCCCCCCCCACCTTGGCGATAAATTTGACCGATCGCAAAGTATTTCATTCATTTGTCCTTTCATTCACAACACTGATAAAATATTGGGACCCAAACGATCCATTAAGATCACCGATCACTTCACGTGGACCTCCGCCTATGTAATCTATTACATAACTTGCACTTATTGCAAAAAGATATACATCGGCGAAACAGGTAGAAGACTAGGTGACCGATTCCGAGAACACCTTCGAGACGTGGAAAGGAATGACAAGGACACATCGAAACCAGTCGCTAGAAATTTTAATTTACCTAATCATTCTAAGCAACATATGGCAATCTGCGGTCTTTCCTTACACTTAGGTAGCACGGAAAGCCGTAAAANGCAGTCTGAAGAAAGACAATGAGTCACGTTTAGTGTCACATTCTATATATCATATATATTATTCAGTATATATATATTATATATTTCAGTATATATATTATTTATACTGAAATTTGTACTTTGATCGCTTTACAGCTTATCGTTGATATTATTATTTTTTTCTATTAGAAGTTAAAAAATGTCGGTTTAGGGGTAAGCTTTATCTTACCCTGTCCACACGTCATAGAAAGCTAACTGAGAAGAAGTGCCCATAGAATTCCAAATTTAACGGCAGTTGCACTATTCTCTAACTTAATCATGCAGAACTTTCTTTCTATACGCACTCTCATTTCCAAAAAGTCTGTCTTGTCATTTTTACTGTCAATCGTGTACACATCACTTTGATTTAAATAGAAATAGTCCTCAGCGTTTCCTTCAAGACCAAACTGACCTGAAAAACAAAGATTGTACACTTGCTTTACTTCGCCTTGTGATTGGTCGGAAAAAATCGCGCCACTCTCTCAACCAATAATTTACAAAAGTGAAAACAATTACGACTTGGTCGCCCGCGTTTCCCGCGCTTTAGGAGTTGGTTGTTTCTTTTTTGAGTTCTCATTGGCTCTTCAAGGTATTTCCCACTCCTCTGATTGGCCGTTGTGTTGCATTTTGTTTTATGACACTCGATCAAAAAGTGCTCGAGATATTTTCTCACACTTAGGGAAATGCTTGGGTGCAAAGCAGCATTTAAAATGTCTATGAAAAAGAAACTTTTTACATTTTTCCTGGTTCGTACAGCCAGATAGCAAGTGGTAAATCACGTGGAAGTTACGTTCGCTTTGTGTCAAGTGAGTCACACGACACTGCAAATGTAAAAATAATTGTAATGCAATGAAAAATGTCTGATAACTTTTAAGAGCAACACACACATAATGGTAAACAGAACTAGTGACTAGCAAAAAGTCTAGTTGTTGATTTTTCCACCATTTGGTTGCCCTTTCTGGTTGATCTGTATTTCAAGGTATTTTCCATGTTGATTTATTAAGAATACCATGTAATCAATTTTCTGCGTCATTGCAGTCTCTGTATTTTTTGGTACAAATTTAAGTTAACTTACAAATCTACTTGAGTTGTTGTTGGTTATGGTTTTTGCATTCCCGAACGCCTCCAGCACAACGTTAGAGTTAAAATGTTCTTGATTTGCTAAACAGAAAACAAATAAAAGAGGTTCTTTAGTATCCGTGGTTACTAAGAGAAAAAATAGTCAGCAGTCACAGAGCTAAAGGCATATTTACCTGTATTCTTTCGGATCCTCAGCCAGAAACTTCATCATCATACAATCAGGATCACGTGCCGTGCAGATGTAGTCTTACCAACTCCACTTTCACCGCTGCAATTTCAGAAGTAAAAAAATCCCGAGGTATTTAACTAACGGCGAATTGGAAAAGAAGCGACAAGAGAACAAGCTGCTTCTTCCTAAGCGATGAAAAAAGTAATAAAGGTGGACAATAATAACGATAACTGTTCGACGACGTCGCGAACGCAGCAAACAGAAGTAGTGTTTGTTCTGATGGTCAACCACATAAAACGTGTCGTATGAAAATAGATATTACAGTGCTGTGGTTAGCTGGCTCAAAAAATATAATGTGGTTCAGCTTGAGAGTTAGACTTACATTTGCCATGATCAGGACAGTCTATGTCGCCGAAGATTTGCCTAACAATACTGCATGCGCATGCGCATGGAGTGCAGCGCGAACAAGTTAGAAGCTCAGGAAAACAGTGTCACTGGTTATGTCAGTGTACTTATTTTTTTCCGCTTTTTACATAATACTTCTTTTTACATAATACATCTGTATTTTGAGTATTTCGCACAATTGGACGCGTAATATAGTGCTTGCTCGTATGTGAAAGAAA